TACCGCGCCCGTTCCTCGGCCAGGTTGCTGGACCAGCCTCGCCCGAGATCATCCCGCACTCAGAAAATTCAACCCCCCGTCCACCACTTCGCCCAAACCCCCTGCTTCAGCTGGAGCATGTGGTTTGGGTGACTACATGTGGAAGCCATACCCCGTACCCCCCGCCACCCTGCAATCATTTCTTTTCGGTGTTAAGGTACAAGAAATGATTGTCGAAAATGCATGTATTAAACACCCCAACCCCCCTGCAACAACTTCCAGTGCTGGGGTGGTCGCCCGAGCCCTTCTGGTCTTGCGTGTCCGCCCTGCCTTCACACCGTCCAGCCAATGACTGAAGCAATCCTTGTTGAAGGCTTAAATGTAGAGCCTCTGTTGATTCTCGCCATGAATTTGAAGTAGAGCCTGGTCCATCTTGTCAGCAAGCAAGCCTCCTGGCAGCATAGACTCTAATTCTCCACATCTATTAGTCTGCCTTGCGAGCGAGCGGAGGCATATCAGCTGGAAAGCTACTTTTGGCTCCTAGTAGCGTTGAACAAGGAGCTTAGCCTTGTAACAAGTCTGCTAGACTTGGAAAGAGAATGTTTTTAAAGAGATTCGTCGAGGGAGACGCATCCATGAACTGCAGCGGTTGTCTGTGGATTCTGTGGTGACAGGATTTCTCCAGACTAGGCTTGGCCACTAACTGGAGAGGGCAGCGGGAGTGCGCAGTACCTCTCTGGCAAGTGTTGTCCATATGCAAGGGAGAATTTGATTGAGGTTTCTGAAATAGGCTTCGCACGTCTAGGTGGTGCCCTAGAGATTCTTGGAGAGGATGTTTGGCTGAAAATTAACATCCAAAAAGATCTTCCGTCTTACTACCAAAGCACGATTGTTGATGCTCTTAGATTGGCCTTGAACAGCTCGATGCAACAGGCTCTCTTGGCTTGAGAGCGTGCTCGAAAACCTGTCTCAATCTTTTCCTGGGGTCCTGACTGTCAGAGATGATCTCGGTGATGGGTTTAGAGAGCACATACTTTTTAGGAGGAGCACTGCAGGCTTCAAGGTCACCAGGTTGCAAAGGGATTCTGAAAGTATTGCCATTCGCCGGAAGGGTGTCCACAGGCCAGGTGAAACTTCAAAATATCGGCAACCGGAGAATAATGGGACCAGGGGAACAGGAGCCCGCCCAAACAAAGGCCAGACGCGGGTTGGGCAGGAAGTTTCCGTGCTCACAAGGGCCATCGTCTATTCTCTCTCATCCGAGAACTATGATGGCAGGCATAGCAGGCCAAATTCCCAAAATTGTGCGGAGCCCGAACCCAGCCTGAAGACTGGGGGCACGACCTAAGGGCCCTTCTGGCTGCTTCCAGTCCACGGAGTCCTTGCAGAGTTATGTCCAGGCACTCCCCTCAGACAACAACGCGCTTTGTTTTCGTTTCTGCTTCTAACCTCGAGACCTCTATCCAAGGATCCAGTTAGCTAAATGGGTGTTGGGAAGTCTTATTGAGGTGCTGTGCCTGTAATTCATGATAGTTCACACCTACCTTGGAGCATTTCCTTCTTCACAGCAGCTTGTGCACAGAAGCCACGCTTGCGGATCATTCTGCGACAGGTCGAGCACCCGTACAGGTGCACTGGAAGGACAGCAGGAGTATAGTATAACCTTCTGGAGATGCTGTCAGCCCGTGCGCTAGCCGCCATAAATGGAGCTGTTGCGGAGTCCACGGCGTGGCTAGAATCATGCGGCTTTCATGACAATGGGACATACTTCGCATGCGATGTCGGCCCTGCGCTACAATGGCGTCCCGAATCTTCTTGAAGAAGCCGTCGCAAACGTCTTCTGTCAAGAGGCGCGGTATGTACCTCACGGGCTTTGCTCAGGTACTTGCTGAAATCGCACTATGCACACGGTTTTTTCAAGGAACTTGAAAATCTTGAAGCAGCCTCTCTGTTGCAAAGGTTCAGCGTTCAGACTCCGATCTCCAGGCTACTTGGGAGTTTGCAGCTGATTCATATGGAAGGTAGGGCTGACATTCCGGACACTTGTCTCCTGGTACAACCACATGTAGAAGGCTCATCACAAAATGCTTAACTGTGTTTCTAGACAGCATAGCTGAAGCAGTCATCATATCTGCCAGCATTGGCCCAAAATGATTTTCTGCGCACGATACTGTTACCGTGTTACCTGACAGGGCATGACTGACCAGCGCATGAGAAAGCAATTCAGGGTCGAATCTTGGAGCCAGCCAGCGGACCATGAAAGTTGCCTGATTTGTAGTAAACACATTATCATTGTACTGCCGTGTCTTTCCCGACCTCCGTTCCAGGACTGTGACGAACCCTGAAGGCAAACATAATTTGGGACAACAGCGTCGATCCCTACAATGCCCTACTTCCCCAAAATCACATAATGTGCACTGCATCATTCACATGCAGATGGACTTTCTAGTTGAAACTTCAGATGTCTAGACAGGGCAGTCACCCGGCGAAGCTGCGGCGGTTCTCGTCCGACATGGGGTAGCTCCAAAGTTTGCGACTGGGCAGGTGAGCAGCTCGTGCAATTCAGAGTGAGGTGCATTGGCAAGATGAACCTACACACTGGGTCTGGAAGTATCAAAGCCTATAAGCTGCCTCAATCTTCGTCAGCTGGGAACACTGTAGCTGCTGCACCAAAAATTCCACTTGCCCTGCAGGCTATTTCGTGCTGACAGCCAACTGCTTGCTGTCTAAGAGTACCAGTCCCTAGCACCACCGGCACCGCCAATGAAGTAGTGTCAGTATTGAGCGCCAGGTTGGTTGAGACATTAGGGATCTTCGTAGGATGGGCACGCACATTGCCCTCAGCCCTCTTCAACACATGATACAAATTACAAATTAAAAGATTGGGCTAGCTCAAAGCAGGCTGTTGTGCAATTAGAGCGAGGCAGCATCAGCTTGTTTCGAATAGCACCATCCATGCCAGGGAGGCGCCAGATAAACTACAACTTGCAGGTGAGCAACGGGAGCTGATGCCCGGCAACCCTTGTCCCACACTGGGCACACTTTCGTTGTTGGCATGCTTCGTGGCTGGAACTCTCTGTCGTCTGCACACAGCCAGGATGCCTTCCAAAAATCTGTTGAAGCTATGCTGCCGTACGAGTACAGTCGGAAATTATCGGACTGCCATACTCTTGTCCCTCGTTCTGCTCTTCCTTAGCGAGGTGGGGAATCCGAACGCTTTGTTGTTTCTAGGGTGGCAGGAGGGGGTCTGGCTGGTCTGCTGGGTTCCGCAAAAGGCTGGCCGTGCCAGGCCAAAAAAACACGCAAGTTTGGGGCGTGGAATCTGCCCTTAAGACTACCTTTTAACGGGCCAGTGCCTGAAGTGCTCGGATCCTTTGAATTAGGGGAGTTTTTTGAATGTCTTCCGTACAGAACTGTACGTAAGTACGACAACAAATACCCGCTGCAGTCCTTTGGCGCGCGAAAATGGGGGAAAACCCCTTGCGATTGCCGTACCGCTGTGTGCGACGAGCATGCCGAAAGCAGGCAGGCAAGGCGAGGCACTAACTTAAGGCGAACCCCAAAACCAAAAGAGAAGGAAACCTGGGACCTAGAACCGAACCCAAAACCTAAAACACAACAACGGCAACCCGGGGAAACGGCAGCACGTGGCAGTACCGGAAGGGTGGCAACTGGCGACAAGTGCAGGGCGGCAGAAGCTGGCAGGGGATTCAAGTGACAGAGGCTGGCAACAGCAGCAGACCGAAAGGAGTCACTCAGGAGGCGCTCGGTCGAGAAGCAAGCGCTCGGCCCCGTCTGCGTCTGGCAGATGGCGGAGTACGGTACGGGCGTTCTCGCGCTTCAAAGCAACGCTGAAGGCGTGGCGAAGCCCTCAACAACAATGTCGGCGGACTCGCCAGTGCGGCCAGCAAAAAAAAGCCCCCAAGCTGCGCCAGGAGCGCATTGCCACCGGCCCCCACCCGCCGTCGCAGGCTCCAGCAACCGAGGGGAGGAATAATGCGATGTTACTTGGTTTCATTGTGATTTTACATTGCCTTTCATTAGCGTCTACTTAGCTTTTTATTTAGATTCGGGTGTTTCCGGCTAAGCCGTGGTCAAAAAGCATGTTTGGACTGGGGTATGTTTGGGAGGTATGTTTCGATTCCGCAGCACTAGACATTGGGGAATTCACCATGTGGTAGCAAGTTCTGCAGAGAATCCGACCACGTCATACATGCTCCACTTCTGAAACTGAACAAGCCACTCTGTGGTGCACTTCCGGTCTGGCATTCCTCATTCGAGCTTCACCACCGGTCAAGCCACTATCTTGTGCCGTAGGATCCCCAACACGGGAGGCGTGGAGTGGAGCCTCTCCATCAACCCGAACTCACCGCCTATTGAAAAGTCAGCACAATCAGCGGATGCGACCGCCCAAGCTCTTGACGAAAGGGACGATGTGCGGGTATGTATCGGGCTATGTATCGAGGTGCAAGTTCCCGAAAGGCGGAGGTTTTTTTAGCACACTACCGAGGGGGACTTGCCAGGTTAAAGATGGTTAGCTGCCGCGGAGAATGTGTCAAATGTTTGCATTTGCACACCTCCCTTGAATTCAAACGGTGAACATCCGTTTCGGTGCAACAATACTACATCCGGAGATGCCTTCGAGGTTTCGAGTTCATTGCTCTCCCGCTTGATTAGTGAAATGATTGCCAAGAGGATGGTGCTCCCGCTGAGAAGGAATGGAGTCGCTGACAAGTAGTGCTGTTGTGCTGGTCATAAGGCTCCTCACTCTCATAGCTTGTAGCCCTTGCCGCTTCCTGGCCCGGGCACGTTGCATTTTCTCATCATAGAGAACCTTCTAGCGATGCCCCATCTCAACATCGAGGAGCATTCGGTGAAATTCGGTGTTTCTAGGTTGATGGTGGGAAAGGCCTTGGAGGATGGAAGTTTTTGCCAAGTTTGATCTGCTTCTGTCTCCAATGAGTTTCTTGCAGTGTGGGCATGTGCGTCTGGATGGCGGCAAGAGCGTCATCAATATTCTCCTGCACTGCTCGGTGTGGTAGGCCTCCTGCTCGCCATATTCCAAGGCCTGGATGTCGCAGCTAGGGTCCTCTGCGAAGAGGGCCTCGTCCTCTTGCTCCATGCCGCCAGCGACATAGGTGGCTCCCATCTTCGCTTTCCCTTTTCATCCGGCCGTTGCTCTCGAAGAGCCCGAGCCACAGTGTTGGTGCTGAACTCCCGCGGATAGACGCCAGGAGATTGGCCTGCTCCTGTGTCTCCAGTCCGGCCCACTGCACGAGAAGGAATCCTGCAAAGAAATCTGGAATGAAGCTAGCCGAGCTGCGCTCCGATGAAGAAGAAGGTTCGTACTCGTAGCTGCGCCAAGAGTCGCTTGCCCACGCTGATGAACGCCTTTTTTGTGGTCCCCATACCCCCCAACTTTGTGAGGGCCAAGCTTGCCACCACCCATAGTATACACAAGATTCTTCGACAGGGTCTCCTTCTGCACCTCCCGCGTGGCTTGACTGGCTTTTCATAGGGCTTTGGCATGCCTCGCAATCCATGCTGTCATAGTTTCCCCACGTCGCCGGCGGAGGTTGTAGAAGAATTTCATGATATGTCGTGACGATTCCACCAACGTGGGCTTCACCAGGAAATCCTCCAATAACTCCAGTAGCTGATAGGTCTCCCTCGGATGTGACAGCCACTGGGTGTCTTGCGTGGTCCTGGTCCTGATCGCCATCGGCCACCCCGGTCAGCACTTTAGCCAGCGTCTGACTAGGTAGCGCTTGCGGTGCTCGATCATCATGAGGTACTGCAACGCCTCCTCCTTGTAGATGGGCAACAACTCTGCTTCCCCTCCCTACTGCGGGACGCCATCGAATGTGAACTTGATGGCATTCTTCTCCGTCATCTCTGCCGCTGGGCTCGATGACCACTTCAAAGCTTCAAAATCAACACCTGAAGGTCCCTGGATCACAAGGTTCACGCGTTCTCCACTGCATGCGCGCCGTCACTAGCAACCAGGCTAACCGGCTACCACACATATCCACGCATGCTCCCGAAAGGCGGAGGACTCCCTGTTTAGCACACTACCGAGGGGGACATGAAAGATTAAAGGCCGTGGAGGATGTGTCGAGCGCTTGCATTTGCGCGAGGTATGTATCGAGGTATGTGTCAGGGTATGTGTCGGAGGGATCAAACATGCGCCCTTTCATGACTTCCCGACGCGCCATTCTTGGAAACAGCCAGATATCAATTGCAAGTCATGTTTCCTTTGCTGTTGTTGAGGATCGTCTTCAAAATCAGGCTGAGGTTGTTCATCCTCTCCTGCTTCAGCAGGCACGTCGTCTTCATGCCACCCTGGCGATCTCCGTCCCCAACTCCCAAAGTGCGAGGTCCCTAAGGGTTTTCACCGCCAACCTCACTGATCCTGTTCTCCTGGGTTCTCGTGGTCTCGTTTTGCCGGGTTGGTTTTGTTCTCTGTGTCCACTGCTGGTGCGAAGCTAGGCACTTGCTGCTCTGCGGCCTGCTTGTCGTGCTTGCTCTGGGCCTGGTTTCCTTGTTCCCGGTTGCCTTCTTCCTCATTTTGAAGCTCTTGCACAACCAAAGACCAAAGTTCCGGCTCGCGCACATGTAGTCAACAACCTTATACGCACAACAACATTTTTTCCTTGCAGAGACAAAAGCACTTCGGCCCCTACACTCTCCACGCACATGATTGTTCTGGCATCAAAGGTTCATGTGCTGCAAAATGGAAGAGTTGCCGGAAGCCACCGTCCATCCCATACAAACGCAACTTACCATCAGCAGCCCGCAAGCCAACACAACAACCATGAGTCGTAACCCGTCCTAAGTGGAGCTTCTGTAAAACTCCCTGAATCACAGGCAGCCTCCAAGCATCACTGCGCCCTGACATGTCCCAGTGAACTTGGGTCCATTGAGAACGTGCGACCTCTAGCACTTGAATGGCACCAGTGTACTGCTGAACTGCTTTGGCTTGCTTCTCCTCAATAGCTTTAGCTTGCTGGGGCTGAATCTTACTCAGGCGCTGCGAAGGACCAACTGGAGGACCACCATCCTGCACTAACCTCGTCTGACCCATAGTATACCCAAGTGTCTTCGACAAGTTCTCCTCCGTCTCTGCTCTCTGGAGATTCGGGCGCTTCCTCCTCAGCCATCGCATCAGCTGAAACCTCGTGTTGTGATGCCGTACTCGGATCGTGTAATTGGGGCAGCAGGTGGTACGGGTAGAGGTTGGGTTTCCAAACTCCTTCTGCACCTTCCGCCTGGCTTGACTGGCTTCGCATGGGGCTTCGGCATGCCTCGCAATCCATTCTGTCATAATTTCTCCACGTCGCCGGCGGAGGTTGTAGAAAAATTTCATGATATGTCGTGACGATTCCACCAACGTGGGCTTCGCCAGGAAACCCTCCAATAACTCCAGTAGCTGATAGTCCTGATCGCCACCTTGGCCACCCCGGTCAGCACTTTAGCCAGCGTCCGACTAGGTAGCGCTTGCGGTGCTCGATCATCATGAGGTACTGCAACGCCTCCTCCTTGTAGATGGGCAACAACTCTGCTTCCCCTCCCTACTGCGGGACGCCATCGAATGTGAACTTGATGGCATTCTTCTCCGTCATTTCTGCCGCTGGGCTCGATGACCACTTCAAAGCTTCAAAATCAACACCTGAAGGTCCCTGGATCACAAGATTCACGCGTTCTCCACTGCATGCGCGCCGTCACTAGCAACCAGGCTAACCGGCTACCACGCATATCCACGCATGCTCCCGAAAGGCGGGGGACTCCCTTTTTAGCACACTACCGAGGGGGACATGAAAGATTAAAGGCCGTGGAGGATGTGTTGAGTGCTTGCATTTGCGCGAGGTATGTATCGAGGTATGTGTCAGGGTATGTGTCGGAGGGGTCAAACATGCGCCCTTTCATGAATTCCTGACGCGCTATTTTTGGAAACAGCCAGATTTCAATTGATTTTAATCAGGTTCGAACAAGAATTCAATTAGACTTATATAGGTTTTCATTGCTTTGATTACGCTTCTAAATTGATTTTGACCGGTTTTAATTCGAACTCATTGATCTTGTCACGATTGCATTAATTGGATTCAATCGGTTGTGCTTCGACTTAAGCGTTTCTTTATTCGATCTCATCGTTTTTTGATTTCAATAAGACTTCGATGAGATCCTTTCCTATATCCCCCAAATTCCGGTCGCACGATACATACAGCCCCCCGAAATTAAAAACGGCTCGGAGTATATGTATCAAGGAGGGGTGGGGGCGAAGTTTAATATTGGGGGAGATAATTCTTCTTTCAGAAACGGGAGGCTAACTTCGCTAAGGACTAGCCCCCCGCGGCATGTCCAACGGTAATTCATCTGCGCTTAGTTCCACTGGAAGTGGTGCAAAAAGTCCCAGGTTCGCGGCGTGTCTTCGCTGCACTCCTCGCCCAAGAGCTTGAGCTTCGTACGGGATCGAGGCTCCTGTGCTCATTGGACCCTGTAGCTTCGGGGCGCTGTGATCCTGGAAGGCATTGCTGCACCTACAGCCTCTGCACAGGCCCCCAGCAAATTGCCGCCACAATTGAACCACGAGGGTCTGTGTTGGCTTTTGCCCAGAACATTCGTGCACTTCTTCCAAGTCCCTGCGATTCGCTTGCGGCTCATATCTTGTAACCCTGGTTTATCAGCCTTTCAGGTTTTTGGTCTCAAGTTTCTACATGACCTTTGTTACCAACATTCGACAACTGCTCAAGGAGCTTGCAAAGTTCGATAACCCCAGTCGCAACACGCGCAGCTTCCTGCACAGTGCTGTAGGATCCTGATCGTCAGGACCTCAATCTCATTAGAAAATCGGGCGGAATCGGCAAACCTTGAGTGCAAGCACCCCTGGAACATGTTACGTTTCCAAACTTTAGCCGACTGCCTCCCAATGCTCATCGTCAAACTTGTTCGGCGGAGGAGGCTCCTCTTCAAAGGGGAGGGTTGCAATCCCTCAAAACGGTGGGTCAAGTGCGAAGCTGATGATGTGAGCATCTCTGCCCCAACTATCTAGGTGTCCAAGAAACTCCATATCTTGCCCCCAAGCTGACACAGCGACATGCAGACAATCTTGTGCCTCACGCTCTTTCCTCTTCCGGTCCTGCGAACAGTGAAGGACCCTTGACGATAGTACAGGGCGCGTAGGAGCCGTGGAATGGTTGCAAAGGCAGAGGTTTTTGCTTTGGATTCCTACGTGACGGCGACGCGGCCTGTTTTGCGTTTTCTGACTCCTTTACCCTGAAAGTGCTAGAACGTGCTAGACCTATCTGAACTTCACCACATCCACACCTACAGGCGCAGGACAAAGATTTACCGGTATGTCTTGCTGACATCTCACACGCATCAGGTACTGTTGTCATGGCTGTCATCGCGCACCGCCATGTGTGAAGGAGCGCATGCTGGCTGCATGGTCACGCGACAACAACAATTTGGAGCTCCTGGCAGCATGCAATACACTTTCTAAGACTTTGGGGAGTGAGTGACGGTTTCACGCCTGCTGAATTCGTGAGGACAACATGGGCTGCGATGTTGAGACATGAGACGGACGAGGGTCTACATGTCTACATCCGCGAAGATCCCACGCAGCAGTTGGGTATGATGTTTGCTGCACTCTGTGTTTAATACGGGTAAGATCGGAAACCAAAGTTATGTCTCCAAAGCTGTCCTCATCGCTGTCTCTGTCTCGGGTTTCCTGCCACGGCACCGCACTGATCTCTGGGTCGACACGCTGTCTTGAGCAAAGTCTTTGCAACAGTACTTCAATGACAACATGTACTGCGATCATGTTTTGGAAGGCTTTGCACCTGACTGAGCACACGGCTTGGATAAGCTGCATCACCACAAAGAAAAAAATGTTCACAACACAAGCCTGTACGGTCTTGGCTCCTGAAGTAGAGGCCGATCTTGCAGTCTAACGAATGATTTCCCATGCTGGTTGTCAGCTTCCGGCGTGGGTCCCAACACGAAGGTTACATGCTCCTTGCAAGGCATCCTGGAATCATGAAACTCGCACTCCCCTTTGCCACTCCCTTGTGCTTAGGCTAGGTTCAATGTAAAGGCTCCACCATGGAATTCTGCACATTCCGAACACAACCGACAACCGATCCGAATCGATCGCTAGTCACTCACTCCACTCACCTGCACAGACTCTCCGCCATGGCTCTACAAATGACAAGCCGAGCACCCTGGGAGGCGGCGCGTAACCTGGCGGATAGTGAGGATAGCCTGGCCTCAGGAAGAGGTTTCAAGACCAGTGCCTTCTGAAAACGTCGCCAGACGATGCTGCGGAGTGGGAAGGGAATCTCTGATCTGTTCCGTGCGCCAGGCGGTCGTCCAGGATATACTGGCCTTTGCACAGGTCACGCAACTTTCTCGAAGCAAACTGCACATCTGAAATGCGGACTGCATCTCTGATAACTTCGGCAACACAATTCAACCCAGCTTTGGTCCCTGGACTCAGCTCCAGAAGAGGCCAGCAAGCGCAGCTGGACATCAACAGACGCACTCTCTGGCGATGCTGGCTTGAGACAGAATCGGGACGGTGCTCAGACAAGGACCACGTCCAACACACCTGACTTAAAGGTGCGCGGATCAGGAAATCAACCACCGACATGAATAACCTTTACACAAACTTATGTCAACTTCAAAAAGCCGACTGACATGCTGGTCGGAATGCCGACTCATATCTTGATCCTAACGACAGCATGCAATGCTCTCAAATATATTGACGGATAACTTCCCACTCTGCTGAAGCAAGGATCATGACTGGAAAATATCCGGAACCATCTCAGCATATCACAGCAAGGGACGGTGGCCACCACAAAGACTAGGACTTGTGGCACAATACGGCATCACGAATGTGCACAGATTCGGGCAATTGCCAAGCGCGACGCACCCAAGCCCGAATGGACTACACTGGTGCCAGGACATCAACAACGAGCGGCAACGACCGTGGCATGGCCAAGGCCCGTCAAAACATACTGAGCACAAAGGCGACCCTGACAAGGACATGAGAACATGCCTGTGGGCATCTGGCTGGAGACAACTACGGACTTGGACGTCAGCAGCAATGTGAATAGAGAGGGCACTTCAGAGATTATGGCACAACTGTCGACCAGGACATAGACTGGAACAGCACGCCGAATGGCGCACTAGGGAACTGACTGCGACACACTAGACGCAGAACGACAGTCCCACCTTGGGCACCGGCTGCAACATCAACAGGACCCTGATTGGACCAGGAAACCGACTGGGACAGGAATACTGTGGTGGCACAAACACCGCGAGGTAGAGCTGTCTACTTGATTTCGTCGGTATCTTCCTGCCGTCTGGACCTCCAAGAAGACTCAGGAGAACTTGAAGCACCAAATCGTGCAGTGCGTGTGTCATGGCCAGGGCATGACCCGGACCAAACCTAGAACTTCAAACTAAAGCTCCTCGAAATTCAGAGATCGTCATATTGTAAATGACTGACCCGACCAATGAATCTCATCTTTCAGCACTGTCCTGACACATGAATGCAATCTCCACGCGCCCTGAGCTGAAAGCATACTGTAAGGCTTCCGGCACATAGTATCCAGGATAGTGGGGATGCGCTGCATACATCGGATAGTGCCCACTGGGCCTCCCAGCAAGCGCGAAAGCACGGTTTTGCAGCTTTGGCTTCAGCGAAGAAGAATGTAGAGTCTGCAGAGCTTAACACTGTGAGCACAGCAACACAAGGTCGTTGACATAATAATGGTTGAGCAAACTTAATCAAATTCTTCTACGACGCGAGAACGAGAAAGCTTGACGATTTCTTTCATGCTCTTTCTTTGATGAAGACTCTGTTCAGGGTAATCGTCCATAAAAGACAGGCCAAGCCCTTCCCGGGAACAAAGTGGGATAGATGGGCGTATATCACGCTTTGGAAGAAGCCCTTGCTTGAATTCCACCGCCGCCTGCTAAGCTTAGCTTCGTCCTGATGGCGCACACCGGTTGCAAGCAAGCCAGGAAGCTCAAAATCTGAGCTTCGGGCACCGCGTGGGGGGCGTGCATCATTGGATGCATCCCGTGCGCAAAGGAAGCAGGGTAGTGGACTTGAGGGTGCCTCAGTCAGTCTAATCTTTGCAAAGACTCATACGACTCTGGTGAATCCAGCCGGGCGCCCCTGCCCAGGTATGGCATGCACGTGAGGCATAGCCTGGCATCCCACAAGGAGCTCAAAACCATGGTCCTTGTACATGTTTCTGCCTTGCAGCTTTGACGCTGCCAGCATGCGAGGCAGCTGATGTTCCCTGCTTAAGATTTGTACAAACACCTACGCCATGTGTATTCTGCTGTACATGCGCCCTGGACCGGAGCCCTTGGCAAGTCTTTGGCAACTGACAGGTTGGCCTGCACGTGATGTTGGGGTGCTGGATGTCCATTGGACATGTGAGCGCCGTGAGCTCCATGTGCCAGGTGAGCTGAATGGGCCACATGGGCCGTATGTGCCAAATAGGCCGCATGGGCCATGTGAGGCGCATGTGCATGTAGTGAATGCGTCTGTGGCAGGTGCCCATGCCTCAGCATTTGCATCTGCTCTTTGTTGCACGGGCCCGCGAGT